TAAGCCTGGAGAGTTGCTGGACTTGTTCGACGACACGGGATTCGAGGAAAACATCGATCTGATTTTCGGATCGGGGTCGGGATTAGGACCGGGATCGTCCGATTCCGGTGATAACGATTTTGAAGGCGTGTTCGACAAATTGGACGACGTCACAGGTTTTGGAGTTCTTGGTGGCGGCGGTGGATCGGGGACCGTCGATGGGGAAATCAACGGCCGGCGAGAGGCCGGGATTTTGTCTTCTTCTTCTTCATCATCATCATTTTCTGATTCCCCGGCGTCGGTTTCTGTTGTATGTAATTGCTCCCGTTTGAATTAGGATTAATAGTTTGATTCAGTCACCCAAAAAAAAAAAAAAAAAAAAAAAAAAACTGTAGAGGTTTGGATGTTTCCCTGGCGGATCATATGTTCGTTCGAGATCTTCAATTGTTTTCGAGGTTTTCTTCAGTTAAAATTATATATAAAAAAAAGACTTCGTATCTTTGATTGGCGTGGGGGGAATATTTTTCTTTCTTTCTATCTATTAGTTATTTCATAGATTAAAGAGAACAGAGAAACGAAGGGAAAAAAAAAAAAAAAAAAAAATATATAATTTTATGAGTAAAGCTTACTACAAATTGTGTAAATTTAGGCCTGAAAATTCGAATCGATTGATTCGAATTGATAAAATAAACGATGTATAAATATATTTCAAAAAAATGACAATTATCTGTATATTAACATACCAGTATGGTTAGATTTTATATTCATTAAATTTATATAAAATCATATAAAAATTAAAAAATATGTAAATTTAATAATTAAAAAAATTTAACCTTCTTACTTTAAAAAAAAAAAAACCACCGCAAGTTCCGCTGACATGCATGTTTTCATCGAGGTACATGTACGCATAAAGAGAACATAACACCGCCATAAGTCCAACAAGCATGCATATGATCTCATAAGTGATAACAATAGTCCAACATTGACGAATCAAAAATATGTCAAAAATTCAAAAATTACAATCTCCAACTGATCCGTTTTTAGGGAGGAAAGGGAATAAACTAGTAAACGACAACAAAGCAAACAACCAAGCGACACCTAGATAAACAAAACGAGAATGGCAACATTATTATTCAGAGAACAACGTGCATCAGTTCACACTCGACCTCGAGTTGTTAGTACGCGAGCTCGTTACTTCAGTTGGCGCAACATCTAGTGGATGGAACTCGGGGTTGTTCTTTTATATTAGGGTAATTTGAGTGATGATTTTGAGTTAAATTTGAATTATAATTTGAGTTTATATTTGGATGTGCACATTTGAGTTATGATTTGAATTGAAAATCTTGAGTTTGTATTTGGGTGAGTCAAAACTTAAATTTATATTTAAATAGTACTTTAATAAAAACTCAATGGTGATGAAAAATTTTAATAGGGTATATGAGTGTGATTTTATTCGTCTTTTCATTGTGAATGCATAGAAAAAAATCATCTCAATCAGAATTAAAATGAAAAAGTTATGACATTTTTAAGAATAGAAAAAATATTGTTCATTAACTTGAGTTCAAGTTTATAAACTCGAGTTGAAGGGAAAACTTGAACTCGAGTTTAGCCCCAAACTCGAGTTCAAATTCGAATTCAAACTCGAGTTCAAGCTCAAATTTTACAAAAGAATATGAACTTAAATAAAGTTGTAACTCAAATTTAAATTTTTTCTGAATTTTATTGCAAAAGAACAACCCCTCGAAAAGGTATCGCTCATGATTGTTAATGTTAGAAAGAGTAAAATATTAATTTCGACTTTATTGATATATTTTCACATTAAAGAAGTTTCTTCATTTTAATGTTAGATAACTTGCCCATTAATTATGTGCTTTGTAATGTAAGTTTATGTGGAACTTATTCCATAGCGCTTCTTATTAATGAATTCATTCTCTCTTTTCTTAATCTCTGAATGTAAGTAAAATACCGAACCACGTTAATTTCTTTATCTTCGCTCATTCCTTTTCTTTTCTTATTTAACTACTTATATTAGCTAATACATTTGGTGATGCGGAAAAGGACCAATCTTGCGATCATGGAGCTTAGTGTAGCCGATCCTTCTTCAAGTGAACCGTTACAAAACTCTTTAGGGGGTGTTTGGTATGCGAGAATCAGTAGGAATCATATTCTCAAAAAAGTGATGGAGGGTAATATGATTCCTAAGAATAATACATTATTGTGTTTGGTTTCATACATGAATCTTTTTTAAATTCTCAAGAATATTACATTACTGTGTTTAGTTGTTCGTATGGAATAATATCAATAATAATAATATTAATAAAAAAATAAAAAAAATAAAAAAATTATTAATA